TAGCCTATAAGACTACTTGACAAGTAGGTTACAAAATTTCAGTTTAAGCGTTAATGAAATTACTCGCAGCACACATGTGTGATTTAAACTTGCCATAAGCCAGCAGTGGTGGAAAGAGTACTGAAAAATCATACCAAAATAAAAGTACCATTACTTGCAAAAAATGTAGTTCAAGTACAAGTATCAGTTGTAAATATTACTCAAAGCATGAGTAAAATGTAGCCATTTTAAAAGTACTCTAGAGTTGTGATTATTATGCAGTAAAGGGCTAATGCTATTATATGCGATTTGTGCATGTGTGTAAACATAACATAACTGTAGTATACATTGAATCATTGTTTAAGATATTCGGCAGTTTTTAGACCGTCTCTGGGTCATTTTGTGTAAAGATTTTGCCCATCTCCTTGGATACTTTTAATGAGCTTTTAATTTTAAACTGTTTGCTGCATTTATATAGTGGCCATGTCTTGAGGTAGTTTATTATGATGTGATTTACTTTCTATATATGATTAGACAGGTATCGCAGGACTGATTTTTCTACTCAGCCAATTCCCATAGACAAGAAAGTAGTGACTGCAGATGAAAGAAAAGTAGCGGAGTAAAAATACCAATACAGCACTAAAAATGTACTCAAGGGAAATTAAAAGTACACATTTTTAAAACTACTCAGTAAATTACAATTCCGGAGAAAAACTACTCAATTACAGTAATTTGAGTATCTGTAATCTGTTACTTTCCCCCACTGGAAGCCAGTCATCAATTGATTTGTATGGTTACAGGATTCTATGGGGTTCAGCTTTAGTTTAAAATGTTTAACTTTACCTTAATTTGCTTGTAAGTCCATCAGCTGTCAGTTTGTGTCATCCTATTTTCCTTTTCTCCAAAATGAACATACGCATGGTTCAGAGTTTACTTATAGGGGCGCACATTCTGCCATCAAGTTTGTTTTGAATAGATCGCAACCCTCATGTGGAAAGTGGCGTCCGCATGTTTAAACCTCTGTTGTTGTGCATAGTAAATCACACTGATAAAGGAGGTGGACACTTTTTGAAAGTGTATTATAATGATTGGTCAGACAGTGTAGTCTGCTTAAAGCACATGTCAAAAACTAAACATCCATTACCATATTGGAAAATTAGATCCAGAGGCTTCTTAAACAGTCCTCAACCTTTGGAGGTGCATGAAAAATGCATTTGCTTTTGTCTTTTTGTCAAGTCAACAGGAAACAAATTCTTTCAGGCTTAAGTAGTGACTACAGTGTTTGAGGGTCAAAATAGATGCTAGCAAGCAGCCAATCAAGAACAAGCATTATGCAGGGATTATAGGACATTCGACTGAAAACTCATTTTTGACTCATTTTAGGCAAATCAGAATCAATAACTTCATTTACTGTACACTTTAATCTTTGAAAAAATGCACATCATCTACAGTTGAAGTCAGAATTATTAGCCCCCTTTTGAATTAATTTGTCTTTTTAAAATATTTTACCAATGATGTTTAACAGAGCAAGGAAACATTCACAGTATGTCTGATAATATTTTTTCTTCTGGAGAAAGTCTTGTTTTATTTCGGCTAAAATAAAAAAAGTTATTAATTTTTTAAACCAAAAAAAATTTTACGAAAAATTATTAGCCCCTTTAAGCTATTTTTTTTCGATAGTCTACAGAACAAACCATTATTATACAAAAACTTGCCTAATTACCCTAACCTGCCTAGCTAACCTAATTAACCTAGTTAAGCCTTAAATGTCACTTCAAGCTGTATAGAAGTGTCTTGAAAAATATCTAGTCAAATATTATTTACTGTCATTATGGAAAGATAAAATAAATAAGTTATTAGAAATGAGTTATTACAACTATTATGTTTAGAAATTTGTTGAAAAAAATCTCTTCTCTCCATAAAACAGAAATTGGGGAAAAAAATAAACAGGGAAGCTAATAATTCAGGGGGACTAATAATTCTGACTTCAACTGTACATCAGTGTTTCTCAACCACATTCCTGGAGGACTACAAACACTGCGTGTTTTGGATGTCTCCTTTGTCTATCACACCCATTACAGGTCCTTCGTGTTCAGGTCTGTGTTTAAGTAAAGAGACATGGAAAATGTGCAGAGCTGGTGGTCCTCCAGGCATGTGCTTGAGAAACACTGATCCACATGTTCAGTCTGCCATGTCACACTCTTAAAGCATGGGCAAACTCAATCCTGGTGGGTCGGTGTCTTGAGTTTATCTCCAACCCTAATCAATCTAACACACCTGAACAAGCTACCCAGCAAGCATTTATTTTATTTTAAAAGATGTCTAATAGATGTCTAAACATAGTCATCTTGGCTCAACTAAGCTAAAATTGGGCTGTCAGTGAAAATCTAACAGATGTCTAAGAATAGGCCAAAACTAAACTAGTTGTCAAATAAACAAAATTGATCTTATTGATCTATTAGATGACTAGTTTAGTTTTGGGCTATTCTTAGACATAGAGGTTAACCAACAGCCCAAGTTTAGCCTGGTTTTAGCCAAGCTGTCTACGTTGTTAGATGTCTATTAGATGTCTATTAAACACAAAATTGTTTGCTGGGTAGTCAGATCACTAGAAGGCTACAGGTGTATTTGATTAGAGTTGGAGCAAAACTCTGCAGGAAACCGGACCTGCAGAACAGAGTTTGCTCATACATCCAAAAAGCTCAAAATCTAAATCTTGTTCTTCTAAAATTACTTCACCTCAACCTAAAATTAAAATTTGAATATTCTGTATGAGAGCATTAAGAGGATAATTAAAATTGAGACTACTCAGTTTGTTGTGCACACTATTGTTCTTAAGGTGATCCATTAATGTGCAAGTTAGCTCACAGAAAAGAATTCTCTTGATTTTATTTAAACTAACTTCAATAATTAGCTTCAGCTCTGGAATTGAATTCATAACTCAGGAATTCCAATTGGATGGCTTGTGCAGAATATCGTTGACCACTTTGTTAATCAAACATTAGTTTAATTTAGCGGAGAAGGTCTAGTAAAATGATCAAGGAGAAATTCACAATTCTTGAGCCTTACATCCATATGCGTATCTTAGCTTCACTTCCTCATCTTAATGTACTGCATCGACCAACTTGGAAGCTGCATGGGGCTGCATTTTTATGACTAGGGCTATGCCACCTTGCACAGCAATCAGGATTAAGTGCGACGATATTTCATCCTGTCAAGCTAAGCATAGCATCATGCGCCTCTTCTCTCCAATGCACAGCATGGAGAAGCCATAAACTACAGCATTGGCCCATGGAGAAACCATATAAAACCGCAGTGTGGCATGAGGGAAACATAAACAAGATGTGCTCGCCCTACTACATGAAGATCTATCCAGTGTAACTGAACAAGTTTGTACTCAGGATTCAATTCTTCATTTAAATATTGGCAAGCAAGATGGTTGGACAAGCACTTGCAGCTATATATTAGTATTTAGGGTGCACTCACACTTTGCTATCCGAACTGTGCCCAGACACATTTCTGGGTTCGTTTGACAAGTGTGAGTTCTCCGAATCGGGCCCAGGAGTAGTTCAGTTGGAAAAAAGGTGTGCCAGAGCACAGTTTGGTTGGCTTTGGTGCGGTACACTTGTAGTGTAAGTGCCAAGTGCGCCTGAGCCCAAAACAGATGCGACATCACATTTAAAGGACTGTTTCATATGGATTTATTAATCATTTGTACTTTTCAATGAACAGTCAGTCATAGTTTATTAAAGACGCAAAGCTCTCGCTGCACCTTCAGCAATCCTCCTAATACATCCAGCATGACTTTCATGATAATTTATGAGCGTCAAAGGTGTTGGATCTGTTCGGCAAAGTATTTCACTGCATCTCAAACAACTAAAAATAATGCAAAACAATAAATAAAGCAATCTCCACTGTGTTGAGGGAGAGTTCTTCTCTTTCTGTCCTGTTAAACTGAACAGTATCATCATCGATGAACTTAACTTTGCTCAGGTTCGAAAGGTAAAATGCAGTGTGAGTGCAGGCTGAGGGGAGAGGTCACAATCATGCTTCGGTGCGGTTCAAGGCAACAGTACCTAGTGTGAGTACGCCCTCAGTCTGTGTTTGTTGGCCTGGAAGAGACTACTTCGACTGAATGACTTTTTCGATATGATTCTGACAGCCAACATAAAACTTGAATCCTGCCAGAGATTACATTTGTAATAGAATTAGTTACGTTTTCACATGTAACTGTGGGATCTTGCTTCCACTATTTTATGCAGAAATTACATGGTTTTTTTTCTCACATTATCTTTTTACATTTCACAATTGTGTTTTTTTTCCTTCAGAATTGCATAACAACTGCATTATTCAGTCAGAAATGTGATCGCAATTCTGACTTAAAACTCAGATTCAGATTTTCTCCTTAATGGTGAAGGATAAACTAGGCATAAGACGATGACCGTTTCCAAGGTACACCGCGGTTTGGAAAAGTTAAGGTTTTAAAACCGCCAATTTTTTTTTCTGCTAGACCGTTCTGAAGGTATACGATTTTTTAAATTTGTTGTTTTTTTTTTGTTTTGTTTTTTAGGACAACAGTATCTCCAGCAGAAAAAAAAATATCCAAAAATGCTGTTTTAAATTGTAAAGAAAATTGTTTAGACACTAATAAAGACAGCAGAAGTTATTGATTCATTTGAATTACTTATCTTGACACATTTACTGTTCCAATTTGTTTTAAATGTTTTTCAAAATAAAATATATAATGTTGAAAAGAAAAAAAGTTTGTTTTTTTTACCCAGAGATTTAAAAAGAATATGTTTTAGAGCAGTGATCACTATACTGTGAAATCATATATTTATCCAAGGTTATTACACCTTCAGAATCTTTTACCCGCCCATGCCAAGATAAACGCAATTGCTGTGAAGTAAAAACCATTGATTCAGATAATATACATACCATCCAACCTATAAACTGCTGCCTTATTTCTGAATACATTCTGAAGTAACTCCTAAAGTCAAACTGAAAGCTAAAATCCAATCTACATTGGAAAAAAACGGTTTAATATATCAATTAGAACAATGCATTTTACATTTGTGAAGGTTATTATTCATAATCACAAAACACAGTCAACATTTCATTCCCAAAAATATATCAATGCAGGACAAAGACATACTGCAAGACGGAAATTCCGTAAAGAAAAAGAAACATCATTTCGAGTTCCTTGCTTAAAAAACATTTCAAGCATTTAGATCTTGTGCAGATCCCTGTCCTCATTGTCCAGGTTGTAAAGTGGAAATGACACGGTAGAGACGGGCATGGGAGTGAGAGGGATTACGCCGTCCAAAGGCAGAAAACGCATCAGTTCAAAGCTTGCCAGGAGGTAGACCACTAACCGTTTTAAGTCCAGTTGATGTTCTATTAAAGCAGAGGCCTTATCCATTTTATAAAAATGAGAAACGAAAAAAACATTTATGTAATGCTTGGTTACCAAAGAAACCGAGTGCTCATGATGGCGTCACGGCAATAAACGAGTAATTATACTATTAATGCAACTTGAAGGAGGTCTTAATAGACTGGAAGCAAATTCCCGAGGTTGCCTCTGGCTTTGACATACATGCGTATAATATACCAGTGAAAATTAATGCTGTTCTTATACAGTTTTCAAGCAGGTGTCATCACATATTGTATAATCACCTCAAACTTTGAGATATCCATAAAAGGCAAATTAGCCCAAGTAAAGTGCTTTTCATAGAAACAAGCAACCTGATTGACCAGATCACCAATATGCAAACAGTTACATAATTTGGGTTGTAATAATGGCACTTACAACTTTTAAATCATTTCCATGCAAGTGCAGAAGACGTTCGTCATTCCCAGTTGAAATTTTAGTGTGATTTTAATGGTCAGCAGCCCTGCTGTAATTTACAAAAGGTACAGAGAAAAGAAAATGGCTTACGGGTTTTGGCTGGTTCAGGTGAAGGTCAAACACTTTAACATACAGCAAACTTTTTTTCTCCTGCTCCCCCTGACTGTATCAAACAGCTCAATTCATTTACTGTCAAAATAAACGTCGAACAACAAAAGTAAAAACAAAAAAAGCCTCTCAGATTATGATAAACATTCCCTGTGGAGGATAACATTTACTTAAATATACATATATACTCTTCAAATATTTTTTTCTCAGTAAAAGAGGAGCGGGTCCAAACGGAGTACAGACATTGAGAAGATCAGTCCAATAATTCTGTATACAGAAGCACATGCATCAGGAGACAACTGGATCCAAAAACCTTACGCATTAAACTGGGTCTAAGAAAGGATAACTGCTGAATGATTGCCTTTTGCAATACCTTAAAATCAAAAGGTCAGTATTTATAAATCAAGTAATGTTACGCGTGATAGAGATTTATTTATTTACTTTCTTCAGTCCATTTTGGGAGTGAGACATCCAAAGGCTTATTTATAAAAGTGCACTGAGAAGATACTTCCAATGGGCCGACGCAAAAACATAAGCAGGAAGAATTCTCCTGGTCCCCCGAACATTCAGGCTGTAATCAGGTTAATCCAATTTAGTTGAAAGTTCCCCTTCCAGTCATTGACTAAAAGAAATCCTTTAGAGAATGTGGACTTCTACCTGGCTAACTTCAAAAGAGACTCCTGCAATAAGCAGAACAGAAAGGAAAGAGAAATCAAACACTCAAACTATAAAAATGTAACTGAAAACATAATATATATATCAATGCTAAATATGAAATACCTCAGACTGCCCTGGTTCATTGATTAAGAGGTCTTCGTTCTTTACTTCTGAAGGAGCACTTGTCATCTGTACACTTCGTGTCACCGGCCCACCTTTCCTCTCCCGCATCCTAGCTGAAAAACGTTCCTCCTTCTTAGATTGTGCCGTTTTCACAACAACCTCCTTCTTGACAGCTGCCTCTTTTTTGTCAACAACCTCCTTCTTGACTGCTGCCTCTTTTTTATCAACAACCTCCTTCTTGACTGCTGCCTCTTTTTTATCACCAACCTCCTTGTTGACAACTTCCTTTTTAACAACTACCTCTTTCTTGTCAACAACCTCCTTCTTGACCACCACCTCTTTAAATCCACGTTGCATTTTAGATGGTGGTCGTGTTGAAGAGTCATCAGTAACAGCAGGAGTTATAAAAGTCAATGGCTCATTGCTTTTTTTGCCTTTCTTAATTTGTGGGGCAGCGTTGACTACATTTGAGGATGGCCTCTTAGTACGTACCTGAGGTTCTTTGCCTTTATTTGCTGCTGGAGCTTCATTCTCAACTGGTTCAGAGGTTCGAGCTCTGGTTTTTCCCAAGGACGGTGTGCTTGATCCAGAAACTGCTTCTTGTTTGACTTCAGAGTCAGTAGCTCGACTTCTGAGACTCCTGTTTTTGTCTTGAGGTGTCAGAGCACCTTTTTTCAACTTCTTGGCAACAGGTCTTTGCGGGCAGCTGCAAGCAATATGTTTCGTAAGACTGGCTGGGTATGTGAACTCTCGACTACAGTATGGACATGCATGGACCTCACGAGTCTCCTCTTCCTTTACCCGGGCTGTCGGTTTCTTTGCAGAAGCTGCAAATTTGTTCTTCTGTGATATAGCTTTCTGGACAAGCTGGTTTTTCTTCTTATTTAGGGCTGATAACTTGACTTTGGATGTTAAATCTTGGTTAAAGTTAAGCCTTTTTGGTTGACCCATTCTGCGGAAGGCATTCTGCCCAGTTGAAGGTCCTGTTGGAGAAATACCATTAGGAGATTGTTTCACAACCTGCTTGAGAGGAATGGGATTCTTCTTAGGGGTATAACGTCTCTTATCACTAGCATTAGCACAAACTAATATGTGTTTGTGTAGCTCAGGCATGTTGTCAAAGCTGTTTCCACATTTGGTACAGCGGATTGCAGTGCTAAATGTTTGGGGGATATTGTGTGTGGTAAAATTAGTGGCAGAGGCAACTGAGCCATCCGGGGATCGGTTGTGGTAAGGAAAAGGTGGAGGCTTGAAACTTGGGTAGTGCTGATTAATGCCAAGCCGGACATCTGGACCTTTTGGCTTGCCAGCCTCAGATGCCATAATCTTTATTGTAGTGTATAGCTCTTCTGTAGGGTCTTCATGTCCACCTTCCTCTTCTTCCACCTTGTTAGTGTCATTGTTATGCTCCTCAGAAGAATTCTCAGAGGGAGCCCCAGCAGTTGAGTCAAGAACAGCATCTTTCTCTATATTTGCACAAGCTGGATTTGTGTAGTTCTGAGGTCTGAGCTTTCCATTTTCAACGGCAGTGTGAGTGCAACTCTGACTTGGATGTAGGTCACTTTGATGTTGCTGAAGATTGCAGAGGAAGGCAAACTCCTTTGAGCAAATAGAGCAAACATAAATTCTTCCCACCCCGTGGAGAGACGAGCGGTGTTCGAGAAGAGCAGTGGCGTTACCAAATAACTGCACGCAAAACTCACACTTAAAAGGCCACTCTGATGCATGCTCTATTATATGACCACTAAGGTCTTTGATGGAGCGGAATGGCTCTTTACAGACGTTGCACACAAAACTTTTGACAAAAGTCTCCCGCTCTGCAGAGTCAACCTCATCAGAACTTCTAACTGAAGTTCCAGGTGAAACGTCAGCCCCATTTGCAGTTATGTCTACCATCTCCTCTTTTTTTCTTACATCCTCTATAATTAAGTTGTCATCAGCCTCTGAGCTCCTCTGTGGCGAATGCAATTTGCTGAGAAAGTTTGGGGATGAGGATTCCTTTTTAGGAGTTGATTGTACTGTAGAAAGGGGAGACTTTGATTTTTGTCTGACTTCTGTTTTATTATTAAGGTCTTGGGGGAGAGTTCCTTCACAGGAATGGCTTTGGTTGCTTTCAGAGGAAGTATCCCACTCCAGGTGAGAAGAACCTGCTTGGTCTGCAGTTTTTAAAAACTGAGGCTTAGAATCATGGGTTGAGCCCTCAAGTAGTGTTTCCGACTTTGAAGATGAATCTGCTGTACAATGTCTTTTTGCATCCTGAGGCAGAGGAGAATTTACAGAGTCTAACTGCTCAGCAGTTTGGTTTGATTCACTAACAATGGAATTTAATGCATCATGGCATGGTTCTGTTAAAGCAGATGAATCTGAAACATCTTCTAAACTATCAACAGCTTTAGGGGACATTTTAGGGGACAACACTGGAAAAGGGGAAGGTGTTAAGGCGTCAGACAACGGAAAATGCTTTGATGATAAAGGTGGCGGAGATGGGATAGTGGGTAAGACTGGAGGAGGTGGGGTAGATGATGCTATACTTGATGAAGAGGGCGAGGACGGATTGATAGTCATAAGGGTCAGGGAGGGGGGAGAGGTTGATTCACAAGGAAGGCGTTCTGATCCTGACCCAGGACTAGAAGGGGCAACACATGTGGCACTCTCGGATGATGAAAAAGCATCAGGGCTTCCAACAGTGTTGGATTCTTCTTCTCCAGGTGAGTTTAGCCCAGCATACTCATTCATTAACACTTTCTCTAAAATGCTAGTATTGGGTTTCTTTCTTTTTACATGTGGCGGTAGTGTTGCTGAGCCTGTCTTTACTTCATGGTCAACAGGACTTTTACGGCTCATACTTAAGTCAAGCACAGCCTCTCCAGACCCTCTGCTTATGCTATCGTCTCGTTTACTAAAGGAATTTGAAAGGTCAAGCGGCTGCTGATTGCAAGAATTCCCACCACTTCTTGAGGGAGACCAGTCTTTTCCTGTCAAACTCTCTGTGTCCCCATGATCTTTGCTGGGCGAAGTCCAAGAATCTGTCACGCTTTCCATCTTTGGCACCTTCAGAGAACACGTAACCCCAGTTGCGGAGTTTGTGTTGTCATTTCTTTGTGGTGGGCTATTCTGTGAAGTTGTGGGAGGGGAGGCAGTTCTTCTTTTAAACTTACCCTGGACAGCAGGCAGTGAAGTTACTGAAAGTGGGGTGGTCAATCTACTGTCTGTAATTAGACCAATGGCTGGTTTCTGACCGTCAGGGGCTTGTAGTAGTTGTTTCAATTTTGGAGATAGATAAACTGTTTTCTCCTTTGGAAAAGCTAATGTCTCAGTTGACTGGGAGAAAATGTTTCCTACTAGCAAAGAGGACTGAGAGGAAGGAGAGGACAGGGAGGAAGACGACGAGGCAGTTTCTGCCTCCACTTTTACACCAGGCAGCAGAGGTGGTGTAGCAGTTCGTCTTCTCTGAGTAGCCTGAGTTACGCATGAAACTTCTTTTGCTGGACATGTCCGTGTTTCAACTTTAAGAGCATGACCAATTTGTTTTGGACTTAAAATCAGAGTATCAAGACCAAACAATGCTGCGGTGTTTGAATCAACTTCAATGACCTCACAGTTGCTCACTGTACTTGTAGATGGAATCTTTCCATCGATGTAATGGCTCAGATTTTCAGATATATTGTTAGAGATATCTACCATGCACTCCTCCCTTTCTCCCTCATCCTCCGTCTCCACACTGGGCACATAGATAGGTGGTGGACTGGCACTTGGTGACTCTTCCTGGAGTGAAACTGTCTGCCCTTGTTCATGCTGATGCTGTTGGGATGAACTCTCCTGAAGGAGCATACCTTTTCGTCGAACACCTTTTGGCATTAGATGCCGCTCATGGATTCTGCGTTGGTGTCTGCGCATGTTGGTGTGTGTGCCGAAAGCCTTGTTACAGTATTTGCAAGGATGAAGCTCTTTTGACTCCCCATTCTCATCTACTATAAAAGGTCGATCAGATTCTGCACCAGGCTCTTTTTTCAAACTCTCAGAGGTCTGCTGAGGTGGACCATTCTGTGTGCTTATAACGACTGAATGGCTTGGAGAAGACACACTGCCAGAGGTAGCAGAGTCATTAGCCACTGTGGGACTGGGGAGGAATGATGTGCCGCTAAGTGACCCAGGCCTATTTAAAGTTTTACTCCCATTCTCATGTCGACGTTCATGTCTGCGCCTGCCTACCTGAGAGCCAAAGGGCTTGGCACAGTACCGGCACTTAAACGTATGAGTTTGATGGTTTGAAGTAGTGTGAATATGAGTATGACGCTCCAGGCCCTGTTTGGTGGAGAAATGACGCTCGCAGTGCTGACAGGGGTATGTTTCTCCCTGGGGGTCATCCTCAAAATCCCCCTCTGCCTCTAACTCAGGGTTTGCTAAAGAAGATATACAGTCTGTATCACATAGTGGACTTTCTGAGCTTTCTTCCGCAGGGCTGCCTGAATGTGATTGCAGGAGAGACTTTTCATTCCCCTCAACTGATTCTGCCTCAGAGGGGTGCTGTGGGCTCTGATTTAACTGTGGTTGCTGCAGTTGTCCATCAGCCTCTGTGTTTTCCTCATTCAGTCCTTCCCACCGGTTCATCTCTGTTGCATGAGACTGGACAGGGTTTTCATTTTCTGTAGACAATGCCTGGGAAACTGCATTCTCCTGTTGTAACTCAGAAGGTGAAGACGGTCCTTCCTCACCATTAAGCCCTGAATTTAAAAGAAAAAGGAATGTTATTTATTTAAATCAAATACAGTTTTGTAACAACTCTTAACAAATAAATTAGCTAGGGCTGAAACTAATCCACGCAATTGATAATAATTTTTATTGATTAGTTAGGCATGAGCTATAAACAAAACAAACAACTGAATTATTTTTACAAAACTGGAAAAAACAACAAAATTCCACTGGACAAAACAAATCTTAAAAAAATAATAGAGTGAGTATGAACAATACGTTTCCCCCAAAAAACTACAGCCTATATAAAGTGTATATTTAAAACAGATGTTTAAGACGTGCTTTATCCACTGCATAACTTTAATTTGTGGTTCTAACTTTATATATTGACTTGTAAATAAATAACAGAGAAATGAAATACAATTAGAGGTCAACCAAACTATCCGTGAAGTTTAATAGTTGCAACGTCATGGACTAGACCAGGGGTGTCAAACTCAATTCCTGGAGGGCCGAAGCCCTGCACAGTTTAGTTCCAACCCTGCTCCAACACACTTACCTGTAGGTTTCAAACAAGCCTGAAGGACTCAATTAGTTTGATCAGGTGTGTTTAATTAGGGTTGGAACTAAACAGTGCAGAGCTGCGGCCCTTTTGGAACTGAGTTTGACACCTGTGGACTAGACAAACGTAAAAGCTCTTTACTAAGGGAATGACTTAGTCATAAAACCAAATATGAAGTGTTCATCTGTGTGTCAGCTATAATGCACACATTTTAGACTTAAGCTTTAGCTTTATATTAAATTGAGCAATCAATCCATATGTAAAATCCTGATTTCATAACCAAATTATCTTCACAGACAGCCTAAAATCAATTAAATGTTATCTGACATTTATTCTGTGAGTGTTATTTTTAACTTTAAGTCAACTTTTTTTTTTTTTACTTGTAATTAAAGTTAAATTTCTCAAAGGCGTGCATAATAGTTGACACCAACACTTTATGTATATTAATGTTTAAAACATGTAATCTAATGAAATATATAACTTTAATTCTCTAACTGTCCACATTTTTATGAGTTTGTCATTACTTAGATGTCCTATAAGCTACTTTTAATGTCTGTACATGCTCACACATTTCTGCTTTATGCACACTGTATTATTTAAAATAATAATGTAGTATAAGTTATTGCAATAAAGAACTAATGACACACCGATTGCCAAAATAACTGTTAGTTGCAGGCCTGCTGCTTGCAATTAACTAAAACTGATTAAAATATGTTTTGATTGAGATAAACATACTTGTGAACAGTGCAAATCCCTGCTAGACACTGATGAAGAACATATCCTACCTTCCTCTGAGTCCCGCATCTCTGTTATTGAGGGTTCAGAGGCGCTCAATTTCTTCGGTTCACAGAACCCACCCAAATCAGTCTGCCTGGATTTTTCAGACAGCTCCTTGCTTTTCAGAGACCTCCTTGCTTTAGGGAGAAACAAATCTATTTTTAGTATTTAAAAATGAGAAAACTTTCAAGACTAGCTAAAGCCAAAAAAGCTATTAATATTATAGGTTAAATTTTCCTATTATGACTGTCAAACATTAACAATACCATCAGCATTTCATTAAAAAATTAAGGAAACACTTTTTAAATTTAAGGTGTGCTTGATACACTTACTCCACAAATGTGCTATGTTAATTACAATTAATTGTACATAATTACATGCAACTGAGACAGAACCCAATTACATGTAATAGGTTAATGTTACTCAGTTATTACATGAATATTTAAAATGTAAAAATGACACCTAAAAATAAAGTGCACCCAAAAATAAAAATTCACACAATGAAAAACTGTAAAACACCAAGTTTTGCAAGAACATCTAGTACATTACACCTGCAAGACCTAAAACAAGAATGCCATGACCTTATTTTCTACATATGCCAGCAAACATCACCACAAAACCAGACTGACTGCTCCATAACACCGCAGCACTCTGCATGACTTACATAAAAGTATAAGGAATCAAATCTACAACACTTACTGCATGCTAAATGCTAGTATTAACTGTAACTGAATACCAGGTGACTGTAGTACTTTAAAGGGATAATTCACTCAAAAGATCCAATCTCCCAAATGTATTTTCTAAATTTAAATAGCTATAATTGGTATTGAATGAGGGAAAAACAAACATCCCTGAAAATCTAAACTGGCAGTGAATGATGACTGCACATTCATTTTGGTGTGGATTATCCCTTTCATTATATATAAACGTTATCTATATGCTTTTAGATGCATTGAAACAAGCAGTGACAGATATCGTCTCAGTAAGCCTAAGAAAACAGCTATCAGCTGCTGTCCTTGTGACAAGGTCATTTGGGAGCATCTTTTACAAAACCCAATTCATAAAACAGACACATGCTACTAACTTGGTCATCTGATCATACTTGTCGAACAATCAGTCCACATATTCACATTCTACTCTGTCCTCAAATGTTAGTCTAATACATTTTAGGGAACACAAGCCTTCATGTTTTCAAACAAAATTACATATGGACTACATATTTCAATGTACAGACAACTGCAAACGATGCCTACACATTTATACATCATCTGACCATACTTCAGATAATGGACCTGTGCACAAATGTAATTACGATGTTACTAACACCCAAAAAGATGGCTGACAAAATATCTAAAATTATTAAGGTTTTATTTAAGCCAGGCTGAGTGCAAAATCACGTTAGAAAAGAAAAGTTGAATTATTATTGTTTATAAACAATGCAAAAGCAAAATATTAATGTCACAATGTCAAATATTTCAAAGACAACTACTTGTCTCCAGTTTTGATGTTAAGTAAATCATTTAAAACGGAATAAACTTACTTAAAACATCATTGCATTCATCTCTGCTGTCATTGGAAAGGTGAAAGTCAAACAACCATTTACTCCTTTAAATACTCTTTTCTTCTCTTGACAGCAAGTTCAGGTCAGCCATCTATTTACCTTTTTCATTCACTGATAAAAACTTTAAAACAGCTACACAATTTAAAAAATCTATACATTTATGTAATATTTAATAGCAAAACAAATTCCCAAAACGTTTATAACGCAACAAATAAACGTAATAACACAGTTACGCGTGATAAATAACCAAAATCAGGCAAATAAATAGGCCAAACTCTCGTTATTTCTGATTTGAAACTCTCAGTTCACTTTTTAGCTCATTTAGGTCTCTTTGCGTGGAGGGTCTGGAAGGTCATCTCTATCAGACATGGGTTGTGACTCTAAACCTAGTAAGCTGACCATCCAGAAGGCATGTTTGGGCATCATGGGCGCGTTTAAACGTGCTAATGGGGGCACTCGGACGTGTCCGTGGTGCTCAAAATGTTCTCTAGGTGAGGAGTTGACGAGATTTTGAGACACTGGAATGAAGTCGGAGTCTGCAAGGCGGCTAACAGCCCCGTCCATCAACATGAGGAACAGCACGGTATACTTCGCCTTACTTTGACCCCGTCCCTCATCGTTTTGTATTTAACATAGCTATTTACAACAAAACGACATATACAATTCGCCTACCTAAATATATTCGTATAAAACGAGCGAACAGCCAGTTGGCTAACATGCTAACTTAAGCTAGCGACTGCGAACGCGTCCAAACAGAATAAACACATGTATTCAGACATCACTTGGATATTAATAGAGGAAAAATAAGCCATTAAGCAGCAATGCGAGGCGGAGTTTTTAAATTACCTCGCTTTGCTCTAGGTGAACTCTTCTTGTTCAGGTTGCTAGTCCTTTCTTCCTCTAATGCAGCTGCTATCTCAGGATTGTCTTCCCCATTGTACCACACGAGAAGTTCTTCGTCCGGGCCGATTGGCTGACGGGGAGCAGATGGACCAATCAGTGCCGAGCTTTTTGGCATGCCATAGGATGAAATACTATCTAGGCCTTGACGCTCTGTCAGACATTTAGGAAGAGACCCTCAAAACAAACTAGGGTGCAGAATGAGTTAGTCCAGCCGCGATACTTTTATAACACGTTAAATGATGTTAAAGATGATTTGCTTATCTGTCAACTTCCATACGTGTAGAAGGAATACATTTCAAAGGGGAATGTTAATTTGCATATTCAGAAATTATATATTAAAGAAGTTTAATGTGCATACATTTAAGGAAAAATAAGTATAACAATCTTTCTTTGTTTGTTCCAGATATATTACTTTTTTTTAAAAGATGCATGCCTCATCATGAAATTAGCATTTAATTTTTATGTATTTACATGCTTATTACATAAAACATTCAAATTCATGCATAATTTTTGTTGTACTATAAATCACAATAATGTCTTAAAAGATTATTTTTAACAGCAATTAAAATAATTTAAATCTTTAATTATTCTTTCTTGAAACTCAAATGCTTAAAATAGCAATTTATACTCCTTTATTTGTGTATTATTATTAATAACTATATGTTATTATATGTTAATTAGCATATTCAGGAATCATATATTATAGAAGTTTACTGTGCATACATGCAAGGAACACAGCAATCAGTATAATCTTTCTTTATTTGTCCCATATATATTACGTCTTTTACAGATCTATGCATCATCATAAAACTAGTATTTCATTTTTATATTTACATGCTTATTTAAAAAAATTCTAATTCATGTGTGTTTTTTGTACTATAAATCACAATAATTTCTTGAAAGATAAATTTTAAAAGGAATTAAAATGATTTAAATCTTTAATTATTCTTTTTTGCAACACAAATGCTTAAAAATTACAATTTATACTCTTTCACTTGTTTATTTATAATTATTATTATTATTATTAGTAGTAGTAGTATTAACAATAGTAATAATAATTACTGCATGTAATTATGTTAATTTGCATATTTAGAAATAATATATTATAGAAGTTTAATGTGCACCCATTTAAGGAACACGGCAATAAGTATAATCTTTATTTATTTGTCCCATATATAAGGTTTCTATTAAATATTAGTGCCTCATCAAGAAATTAGTATTTAATTATAATGTTATTACAAGCTTTTTGCATTTTATTTACTTATTATTTGTTTATATATATATATATATATATATATATATATATATATATATATATATATATATATATATATATATATATATATGAAAAACTAATTGTAAATTAGATTGTTTTAGTACAAATCACAATAATGTCTTAATTTTATCAGGAATTAAAATTGTTTATATGTTAAATTTTTTTCTTGCACCAAAATTAGCTATTTATACTCATTTATTTCAGTTTTTATTTTATTATTAATAATTAATGTACAGACGGAAAGCTGATGCAACTGAATTTCACTGTTTTCCTATTTTCTGAATTATGAGTGTTTTCATTTAATACTGTACAAAGTATATCCATATTACTGTTTCAGACCATAATTTGCATAACCAACTTCTTAATATGTCAATAAAAGGAACTATATTCAATTTTTGTTGTTGGAGGAGAGATCATGGTCCCATTATGCAATTTGAAAGCCTAAATAAACAAAGGCACACATTAGGCACAAAAACAAGTATAGGCAAGTATTGGACACTGTTAATGGATATTGTTACAGTGATTGACAATGACTTGAGTTGTTCTTTTTGTGTGAATGCTGACGAAATGGTGATACATTTGTTTTGATCATGTCATTACATTCAGGAGTTTTGGAATAATATAGATTTTTTTTATTTGTTAAAGGGAAAGATTCTACCAGAATTTTCTATACAAGTGAAAATGATTATATTTGGGTATTTTAACTCACACCCCACAAAAGAAAAGAGTGTTTTTTAATACATTTAGATACTTAAGTAAATTTTACATTCACAAATGCAAACTCTCAAATAGTAAACCTGCCTTTGAGGCCTTCATTAAAGTTTTGGAGAATTTTATAAAGGTATATATATATATATATATATATATATATATATATATATATATATATATATATATATATATATATATATATAGTTACATTAAAAGAGTATACTGGAAATGTGGCATGATCACTGTTTCAATATCAGCTAACTTTAATATAAGTTTGCTTTAGTACATTCATAATATGACAATGCAAATTGTTCCAAAGTTTGTTTATGAGAGTCTATTATCCCTACAATAGCTGCGTTTATTTGATTTTTAAAGTTAGGAATCAACAAGTAAACTTAAAAGTGATCAATAATTAAGGATTAAAAGAATCTAATTACAAGGAAGGAAAGCAATGTAAAAATTGTAATTTAATCCTGTGGTGACAACGCTGACCTATCAGCATCGTTACTCTAGTCTTCAGTGTCACAACATCTGTCAGGCTCAGAAGAAACTGATTTTGTGAAAACCATGATAACGGTCAATCCCTTGAAATGAAATCATATATTAGGGGCGCTTTGCCTAAAAAAGTTAAATTGCAAAAGGTTAAGCTACCCCGTCAAAGTTCCATTAATTTGTCTTTTAATTAAATAATAACCTACCCTTAACACTTTGTAGTAAATGGCTCGATTAATCTCCAGTGGAAAAAGGTTTTGCTCTTGAGAAGATCGAGCCCAGTTCACATACCGCAACCAGTTTCCTTTCATTGGATCTGTGGCATCTACACACATCCACCCCCAGGCTGGAAAATACACCTAATGACAGTGGAACAATACGCATCTAATTAAAGGGATAGTTCAACTTAAAATTGCTTTAATTTACTCACCCTCAAGCCATCCAAGATGTAGGTCTCCCTAATTTTCCTACATAAGCAATAAAAGTGATTTTTAGCAGAAACTGGTCCTTGGTGATTCAGGAAATGCAAGTCAACAATGATTGAAAAGTAAAAAGCACATATTAAGCAAAACAAAATTAATAGGTAGTTTTCATATGATGTCACTGATGATGCGTGAAATTCAGATGAAGGGCAGAAAGTGGTTCTTCTACATAGCAATCGCTATCAGAACATCAAAATATTTCTGTTTTATGTTGTCTAAATCAGCCAAAATAAGAAATGCCGAACAGCTTTTATTGACTTACAAACGTTTTTGCTTATAAAAAAGGGAGGGGGAGTTCAAGAAACTGGCTGAAAAACGGATGAAAGGCGGCATCTAATAAACATTTTTTCAATACATCCATGTGTACAAGCCATTTTTGAACATGATAATTAATTTGACAGCACCAATAAAGATTATGTGCAGGCCTAACTATGTGTGAATTAGCATGAATATTTTAATGTGTAACATAAAAATCAGATGCAAACACCACCACACTTATACAAAACCCAATATAAATAACGTACCCTGCCACATAATCACTGCAATGAAATCTGTCTTGTTTTGTAATAATCCATGTCCTCACTGGCATTTCGGCAGAATAAACAACCGTAACGTGAACGTCGAGATGCAAAGCAGCAGTGAATGTTTGTTGATGTTAAGTTCATCGACAGAACAAAAAAGAAATGCAATCCTTGCTACAAAACTAGACGGTTATTATTGTGGAAGACTTTTTCCCCACTTACAAAAATAAATAAATAAATAAATCGTAATGTACACTATGCGGTCACGCTTTTGTATGCTTTCATCTGTTATTTTGTGATGTATGGAAGATATCCGCATGTGGGGAAAAATACAGTAATTCATTATAAACAAGTTTTTGAACCACATAGTAAAGTGTATAATAAGTATAATTATTTGTTAATGAATGCTGCAGAATACATTAGCATAGTAAACTGATAAACTGTAATAAATACTGTAACGTTAGCGTAAACTGTGGTGCATTGTGATATAGTGTACAAAACTAAAGCCTGGGCGCAGTGGCGCAGTAGGTAGTGCTGTCGCCTCACAGCAAGAAGGTCACTGGGTCGCTGGTTCAAACCTCGGCTCAGTTGGCATTTCTGTGTGGAGTTTGCATGTTCTCCCTGCCTACGCGTGGGTTTCCTCTGGGTGCTCCAATTTCCCCCACAGTCCAAAGACATGCTGCAGGTGAGTTGGGTTGGCTAAATTGTCCATAGTGTATAAGTGTGTGTGTGAATGTGTGTGTGGATGTTTCCCAGAGATGGGTTGCGGCTGGAAGGGCATCCGCTGCGTAAAAAAAAACTTGCTAGATAAGTTGACGGTTCATTTCGCTGTGGCGACTCCGGATTAATAAAGGGACTAAGCCGACAAGAAAATGAATGAAACTAAAGCCTATACTGAATAATTTGTTTATTACTACAATTGTGTTGTTCCACAGCAACAATATAATTACTACCACAGTTTAATTATCTATAGTATGCTTCCAAACACTAGTATTTACTATAGTATTTCTCATGTAACATATTTGTACAGTATGTACCACTTCGATTACAGGCAAATATATTTTAGTTCAGTAGAAAACTCAGCCCTCTTCATGATATAAGGATCCTGCCCAACATACGTGGTTGTTTTCTATTTATTTCTGTTTTAAAATATGGTTTCCTCTGTGTCTCCCATTCAGTATTTTACTTCCTGCCCTCCATCTGAATTTTGCATGTAACCAGAACCACATGATTGAAAACAACATATAGGCATGACTCCGGACAATACTTTGAGCTCTTATACAGCTAAATGGTAGTAGATTTGTTGCAAAATGTCATAAGGGTAAAAACTCATATGTGGTTTACAATGTGGGAAGATAACCGTCTTCAAGGTTTACAACGGTTTGGAAAAGTCACGTTGTTAAACTTTCTATTTTACCGTTCCTGCGGTATATCTATATTTTAATACGCTGTCAAAGACTTTTTTTTTAGGGCAACAGTATTTCCAGCAGCAAAGGACCATCCAAATCAAAAGCTAATTTGAAAATTAAATTGCTTGTGCACCTACATTATAGCATGCTCTGGACCTGAGCAGTGCAGTGGCTTACTTTTTTAAGAAAAGAAAAGATCTCCAAAGATGCCTTTAAGTTATAAAGAAATCTGTGTTTTTGAAACTAATGAAGACAGCAGTCTATTGCTGTATCTGAAATCGCCCCCATAGCCTCATTTACGGTTCCCTACATTAGTCCACTAATATAGTTCACTTGAAGTGAATGAAACGAGTTGGTAAAGTGTGCTGAAGGGATGCTGTTTTGTTTATGTTTAACTGGTTGATAAATCCTTTAGACGGATTTGATTTTCAACTTCTTGGTCAGACCCTGTGATAGTTATTCAAAACTTTTGTTGCAACCCAGTACTGGGAAACATCCATACACACTCATACACTATGGCCAATTTAGTTTATTCAATTCACCTATAGCCTTTAGACTGTGGGGGAAACCGGAGTACCCAGAGGAAACCCATATATACTGATGTACTGCACAACAAATGTCATTTTTCTGATTTTTGATACAATACCCTACGCTGCCATGCAGGATTCGCTGGCCATTTCCTATTAAAGGAAGGAGCAGCAGATTACTATGTATGGGACTTTGTCCGACTTTGACAGGGACTTTGACAGTAACTGTTACAGTTCACATGGTCCATTTTTTTCTTCCTCCAGATCATAACATGTTATTGTCATTAAAATTGTTGCCTCGTGTTGTGCTTGTACTGTACATCCCAGGTAAAACCTTCATGGGGCTTTTTACATATTGTGTCCAAAACCATGTTGAAAACGCACCACTTGCTTCTTCCTTTACCGATTTAAATACGTTTCTAAACTCACAATATGCTATTTGCCTTTGCTATGCTTCAAAATAGTTCAACTTTTGCCACTGTGTGGAATAATAGTGAATGTTTGTCGTTGATATTACTTGAGGTCAAGTTTAAGAGTAATGTAATATGCTTGTGTTTAACTCTATTCCTGCATAAGGCTCTCCCATACTCTGTGTGCTACTTCATAGCTGTGGTGGGCATTTCTCTCCGTCTTGCACTGAACGCAGTCGACCAATCACAACAGACTTTTTCATCAGTCCAATCAGCACAGATTAGCTTCACGCTAAGGAGGGGTTTGGGAACAAATCAATCGCTGAACGAATCATATGGGAGTCAGTGGGATAATTGGGTAAAAATAAATGCATATTATAAAATAATGAAAGTGTTTTTTGACCTTGCATGCACATCACCTTTTGTTGGAAACCCCCAAAACCAAAATATGACCTTTTATGATGCAAAATATGGGCTCGTTAAAGGGACAGTTCACCCAAAAATAAAAATGTACAGGTTTACAACATTCTTCAAAATTTCTTCTTTTGTGTTAAAACAGTTTTGAAAGAAGTGGAGGATGTGAAAATGATTAATGAATTTTAATTTTTGAGGGCGCTATCCCTTTAAGCTTTATTTTCGTCAGTTTATAATACCTCTGACAGAACTAAAACCCTTCTCTACACAATATCTGATACACACCTCCCACATGTAAACATTGCTCGTCACTTGAGACCTCTTCTTTCGCTCTCCTACAAATGGTCCAAATCGTTTGCCTTTTGGTATTAATCTAGATGCCCAGACACCTGTAGAGACACATGCAGAAAAATTCTATTGGAGCAAACACTGGAAACAAACTTTTTTTTTGTGCGTGTCATTTCAGTACATCAGATTTTTGAGCATGAATCAGAACGAGCCACTTTAAGATCTCCAGAGACTCTCTCGCAGAGCCATTTTTTAGAGCATTGGATATTAAACATTTATCTGAATATTTCTAGGGCACCGCCACAGCGTAACGCACATTCTCTATTTCAAACAGCAAACAAAATAAGACTGCAGTTATGTTGTTTGCAGCTCCTTGTTTAGCATTCTCTGCTTCTCAATGTTGACCAGGCAAACCAGTCAACTGTCAAAAAGTCTAATGCTAACTTTGTAAATACTTGAAATGGCCATTTGTGTTTAAAGCCAAATATGTAGGACAGCAGCAGAGTAAAAGAAATGCTGCAATAATAAACATGTTTTCTCATTAACGAAATCATTTAGCAGTTCTCAAGCCTGCCGTTCCTCACCAATGCGACTGGGGTTGACAGCTGATGGCTCCAGCTTCATGCTGTTTGGCAGCCCCTTCCACACATGGGCTGGGATGTCGTCCAGGGTTTCATATGCTCCTTGAGGCAAAGCCATTACAGCCTAAAAAAAAGAGGGATTTATATTTTACAATGAGTTCCTTAAATGTATATGGGCTAAAGATGAAAAGAGGTTTTCAACATCAAAACAATAAAAGAAGGTGTCCTGTTTTATTTGCTCACCAAAAATGATGCAAAAATAATGATGACTATTTTTTTCTCCATGTTTTACAGAAGACTAATATGTGCATAAGCAGTAGTTTATATAGCAAACAATAATTTGACAAATTTGACAAAACCATTTACAAGGATAGTTCACCCAAAAATGAACATTTGCTCACTCTCAAGTGTTCCCAAACTTTTATGAGTTTTTGAAGAAAGATCAAAACCTGTATTCATTGACTTCCATTGTGGAAAAAAAACAAATACTATGGATGTCAACGGCTTCTGGTTTTCAGCTTTCTACAAAATATTTTCTTTAGTGTTCAACAGAATAAAAAATCTCAAGTGAGAAGTGAATGATGAGTAAATGATGACAGAATTTTGATTTTGGGGTGGAAAAATTAAAAAATAAATACACATTTTAATGTTTACACATTTTCATTTTAAATGTTAAATCATTATACATTTTTCAGTTTTCAAAATGTAACAACTTGAAATGTAATAAAATATACACTCACTGGCCACTTAATTAGGTACATCTTACTAGTAGCGGGTTGGACCTGCTTTTGCCTTCAGAACTTCCTTAATCCTTCATGGCAAAGATTCAACAAGATACTGTAAATATTCCACAGAGATTTTGGTTCATATTAACATGATAGCATCACGCAAGTGCTGCAGATTTGTTGGCTGCAGTGCACATCCTAGATGTCAATCTCCCGTTCCACTACATCCCAATAGTGCTCTATTGGATTTAGTTCTGGTGACTGTGAAGGCCATTTGAGTACAGTGAACTCATTGTCAAGTTCATGAAACCAGTCTGAGATGATTCACGCTTTATGACAGGGTGCGTTATTCTGCTGGAAGTTGTCATCAGAAGAATAAGACTGTGATCATAAAGGGATAGACATGGTCAGCAACAATACTCATGTAGGCTGTGGCGTTGACAAGATGCTCAATTGGTACTTATGGGCCCAAAGTGGGCCAAGAAAATATCCCGCACACCATTACACCAACACTACCAGCCTGAACCGTTGATACAAGGCAGGATGGATTCATGCTTTCATGTTGTTGATGCCAAATTCTGACGTTCAGAGATGCTCTACTGCATACCTTGGTTGTAACAAGTGGTTATTCGAGTTACTGTTGCAAGTGTGGTCATTCTCTTCTGACCTCTGGCATCAACAAGGCATTTGCGCCCACATAACTGCCGATCTCTGGATATTTTTTTTCTTTTTCGGTCTTTATCATGTTCTGTAACCACTAGAGATGGTTGAGCGTGAAAATCCCAGTAGATCTGCAGTTTCTGAAATACTCAGTCCAGCCAGTCTGGCACCAACAACCATGCCATGTTTAAAGTCACTTATGGCCCGTTTCCACTGAGTGGTACAGTATGGTACGGTTCGGTTTGGTACGCTTTTATGGTCGTTTCCACTGTCAAAAGGCGTACCGAACCAAACCGTACCGTACCACTTTTTCGGCACCCTTTCGAAAGGGTCCCAAACACAAGAATGGGTACCAAAAAGCGGAGCTAGATGCGCAGCTGAATGCTATTGGTTTACAGAGATACATCACGAGCTTAGGCAACAAGCCAGAATGTAAACAAAGGACCCGCTATGTTTGAAATACACAGCGAGAGATTACTTGCGCTCGCCCCGCGTCTATATCTGAAACTTTTTGAGCTGATGATAATAACGTGCGCTTGATTATAGACAAGCTTTGGAAACCTGATCCTGTGAGAAGCTGACAAACGAGAGAGTGACACATTCAGAAAGAAAAGGACAAACGCGAGAGTGGAGCGCGGAAAAAAAGTGGAAGCCAAGGAGCACGTTATTTCTTCAGCAAACGTGAACAAACTGCCTTGTTTTAATTTTTATCATCACCTTTTGGACTAATATGAACTGGGAATGATGGAATGACTCTCTAACAGAGGCTACATGTGCTGCTGAAGATTACATACACAGATGAGAGGTTTTCACTGACTGTAGGCTATCTTTGTGTTGTTTTGAACCTAATTAAGGCTGAAATGTCTGCTGTGTATACTTTTTCTGTAGTTGGTAAAATATCGGGGACTGTAAGGGTCTGTATGTGTTCATATATGACGTGATTGGCTAATTAGAAATTTGCGTTAATGAGCAGTTTGACAGGTGTACCTTATAAAGCGGCCAGTGAATGTAGTATATCTTCATCCTTCATATATAGTTATAAGTACACTGTAAAAAATGCTGGTTTCCACACAATTCCTTCATGTTTTCCCAACACACATCAATTAAGTTAACTTAATAGTTTTTACAAATTTAAGTGGATTGAACGTAAAACAATTGGCCTCAAAAAAGGAAAGAATTGTATTGTTTTAACTCATTTTAGTTAAGTAGTTTGAACAAGTAATTTTTTGAAACACATAATTTTGAGTTTATGTTGTTACATAAATATGTTATCCTCAATAACAATGTTCCATTGTTTCTCCCATATTTAAACATTTTATTTTTGAAAAAAAGTTATTTATATGATTTCAATGCATGTAAAAACCACTTTAATGTACTCTTATATACACCAAAATGGGCTGTTTCATCTTTGACTCATATGTAACCGATGCTTACAGCATGTATGAACTTTGCAGGGAAAAAAGCATTTATACAAAATAGGAAAACGCCATACCTGCGCCAAGGATTTAACACTCAGTTGAACTTTAAGACTCCTAAGACCTTTCTTATTTCATGGATTCTGCAAAACAGAAATCAGAAGCCGTTATTTTAATATCTAGTACAAAATAATCCTCCAAAATAATGCAGAATGGGACTTATTCAAGCAATTCCAAGGTCTGAAAGCCAGAAAATGTGTGCTTAAATCCCCAAAAACTCCTTCAGTACCTGATTTTGCACTACTGTTCTAAGTCTCTTTGGGGTCAGTATGATTTATTAATTTATTTTAATTGACTTTTAAAGTGATTATTTACCAAGGATGCATTAAATTAATCTAATTAAATGAGTTTTTAAACGCTCCTTTCATGATCCCGTTTTGCATGTTATACACATAATTCGATTAACATTATTGTGTCACTGCGATATCAACATTTCCTCTGGAGTTTCATGTAATTTCAGGTGTTTCATTTTTAATTTGTCGATTTTAACTGCAGTTTGGCACTTTCACTTTCATTCTGGAACATTTAATGCATGCCCCCCATGCCAAACGAGATATTGGATGCGAGTATGAACTGCTGGAAGAATTTAATGCCACATGTATGTGTCTGTGGTTCTTTACTGACCCAGAACATGCAGGGAATAGTGTTAAACAGCCATGTGTGCAAAGACTATCCTGTCACAAAATGCAGTGAAATTCCTACACGACAGTAATAGTTTGATTGCGATGTTCACGTGTCTGTACTGCACTTCAATAACACGACTAAAATCGGCATATTCCCTATCTTAAATCGATTTCTGATTAGTTCGATTATGACCTTAAACGTATTAAATTAATCAAAAATCTCTGTTTACATGGTGGACTCTTAATCAGTATTTTCTTAATCATATTAAAATCGGTGTCCATGTACTCAATCACAACTACTCATATGTTTTAAAACTACAGCATTTACATTCTAATAGTTACTTTACAGTGCACTTGTAAATTTTACAGTATTACAGGCAACCAAAATTGCCAGTAATATTGTAAATTGTACAACAATTTTTACAGAGTGGTCAACTTTCTTTCCTCTGTAGAACACAAAGGAAGACGATTTGGAGAACATTTAAAAGCAGCAGCCATCGACTCCACAGTACATTTGTTCCTTCAGTGGATGTCAATAATGCTTTTATAAATTTTTCAGAATATCTTGTTTGATGTTGAACAGAAGGAAATTTGTAAAAGTTTAGATCCGATGAATGTGACAGGGTTTCCACAGGTTTCATCAAGTTTAGACTTTTAAAACACTTTTAAGATCATTAAAAATGAAATTTTAGACTTATACAAGGTTAATCACTAATAATTTTATTCTAATGGCCTGGTATTATCATGAAGAATCATATACTTGTTTTTAGTTGTCTTTCCCTGATTAGGCAATTTAATAGGGAATTTGCTGAAAACTTGAATACAGGTTTAAAAACAGGCCTAAATAATTAAAACTTAAAAATAAAGTTTTACTGGGAATTATTGTTGGTGATTGGATGGATGTGGGCCCGATTAAGTAGCTTTATTTGGACAAAGCTAAATTAAGACCTGTTGAAAATTATTTAGGACCTACAAAACAATATTTCAGTGAATTTACTTTTTAAGGTCGCTTTTTAAAATGCAAGACATTTTAAAACTTTTTAAGACCCAGCGGGCACCCTGGTGTGAACTAAAAGATAAGGAAAATGTCATTTTTGTCATCCTTTAGTCTTTAAAATGTGCAACATGATACATTCAGTAACATATTCACATGATCTAAAACATTTGGTTAGAGCATGTGCATCGCCCTTAGGTTGTTTTTCCACACTTAATAGTGTTGATCTCACAGGTGTTCTTAGACTATAAACAGTATCTATTACCAAGGGCCTCACACTGTTTGTAATTAACCCAACCTCACCAAAAATCAAGCCAGCCACTTGAGAGATAACACTCGAAAAAAAAAAAACATCATTTAGTCAGACGTACAAGCGCAAAAAAGCCCACCATTTCAGACAAATACTGATCCGTCTTGTCGTGGGTCTGCAGAGAATTGGTCTCATACCCTAAAAAGAGAGCAATAACGCAAGCTGACAGGACGGTAAGTAGAACACTGTCATCAGGTTTGGATGACAGCAACAGAGAATAAGAGGAAATTGAGAAAACAGCATGACACACAAGGGGTTTCTCTGATGTGACGCTGTTATGTAAGTGTGGAGGTCGAAGACAGATTTTAGGCTTCCGCTGGCTGGCAAACACAACAGAAATAGTGTTGAAACAATCAGATTAAAACATTAATATCAAACTCTCCCTCACTTTCTTTCTTTTCCGTCTGGATGGAGGTTTGCAGAAATTATTCATGATATCATTATACTAAAAATAGATGTGATTTCTAATTCACAGACGCCTTACGTGTGGTCACAGAGAAAAAAGGAAGAAGCGTTCTTTCCGAGTGTCTAATAGTCTTTGTGCTCAGAGATCCTGCGGTCGTTAAGGATTCATTCTTTTATTTCTGACAGGAAAAATAATTAGTCTGCAGCACTAGCACTAGTCTCATAAATGTGAACTTTAAAATGAAAACTTCAGCTACCAACTTTATATACCTTTTGACACCAGCGTTTTATGCCAGGATTTTACTCTTCAAGGTGCACTTGATCAGTTTACTGTAGCTGACTCTAGTCTTTTGGTGTATTCAAGTAATGTTGGCAAAAAAACGTAGTTTAAAAAAAAGGTTAACTCTGCCAGAAATAAAAATTCTGTTATTAATTACTCACCCATATCCTTCCTATCCCTTGAGGCATTTGTTCATATTTATAACACAAATGAAGATATTTTAGACGAAATTCAAGAGCTCTGTCCCATTATAATGTATGAAAATATGATGTATGCAGAAAATGAACCAAAAACAATCTAAAAACAACACATGGGTGCTTCATGGAAGCTGTAGTAAACGTGCACCCTGACTGAATGCTAAATGAAAACATTGACGAACAAAATCATTTTTACGCAGTTTTTTTCGCACAAAAAAAAAAAAAACAGCTTTGTGTGATAAAAGTTTGACAATTCGTAACTTTAGTTTTAGTTTACGGCTGCGCAAGTAATTGAAATTCAGTTTCGATCTCGGCTCCTAACTATTATGAGAAAACACTAATCGCTAAACAAATCAGTAAAAGCATGTACTGTAATGTAACTTTTGCAGCACAGGAAGAGCATCATTCATTGATGTACATTCAATCATCCATGTTTCTTAAGCGTGAAAGAGATTGCATGCTGTTGTCTGTATGCGCTCAGCCTCATATTAGTGTAAACAGGGTCTCAGAAACAAGCAGAGAACACACATCTAAAGTCATCTTAATGTGAGCGCTTTAATGGTCAAATACATGCAAACTTGTGTCAAAACGCGGTGTTTAGTGATTATTCATATTAACCCTGACTTATGTAATAGACATACTAGTTAAGAATCAAATGATATGTGAAAGAGAAATTATAAATCAGAACAGTACTGCTCTTAAAGTGACAGCACGCAATATTCCTGCTGCTGACTGTTTTTATCAATAATCAAACAACCAAAGGAGAAAATCACTCACTGCTCTTGTCTGAAGGGCTTTTGTAGCTACAGTTTAATTAAAGTTTCATTCTCACAGTGAAGATGCTTATAGCACAGTTTGTTTCAGGTTTTTATTTTATTATATTTACTTCCCTCTTCTTATTTGCAGGGAGGAAAATAATTGTATACAGTTAAAGTCAGAATTATTAGCCCTCCTGAATTATTAGTGGCTCTTTTCTGTTTAATGGAAAGAAGGATTTTTTTAACCCATTTCTAAAAATAATAGTTTTAATAACTTATTTCTAATACCTAATTTCTTTTACCTTTGCTATGATTACAGCACATAATATTTAACTGCATATTGTTCAAGATACTAGTATTCAGATGAAAGTGCAATTTAAAGGCTTTATTAGGTTAAATAGGCAAGTTAGGGTAATTAGGCAAATCATTGTATAGTTTGTTCGTTAGAAAATCAAAAAATATATTGCTTAAGGCGGCTAATACCAATCACCTTAAAAAAAATTATATATATATATATATATATATATATATATATATATATATATATATATATATATTTTTTTTTTTTTTTTTTTTTACCTGCTTTTATTCTAGCCAAAATAAACAAATAAGCCTTTCTCTAGAAGAAAAAATATTACAGGAAATACTGTGAAACATTCCTGAATCTGTTAAACATCATTTGTAAAATATTTGAAAAAAATAAAAATCACAAGAGGGCGAATAATTTTGACTTCAACTGATAATCGTTTGGAATAATCATGATTACAATAATGACCAAAATAATTCTTATTAATTAATCTTATAAGATTTTTCCCATAATCAAGCAGCCCTAAGTTTAGTTTAAGTTTAGTGAGTAATTGATATGAATATCTCATTTGTAATTAAGTGCGCCTCATTTTTTAAATCATACATTTTCATATGAACAAACTCTCAGGACGGTTCATTGATTGCTATGGGATGGTTCGTTTCTGCCTACGGAGGATGAGGAAGCTCTTGGATTTCATCAAAAATAACTGGATGATTGGAAAAAAGACGATGGGTAATTAAAAATAGGATTAATATTTTTGAGTGAACTAAACTTTCAACACCACAACAATATAGAAACTTTGGAGATGAAACATCTGTATTAATGTTAACTTTCATTCATTTTTAAAGTCTTTTAAGTGTTTTATCTAGTGTTTTATCTAGTTGCATCTTCAAAAAATATTTACAATTATCTAGTATTGAAAATTTTGCTTATTTGGACTAAAAAATTGTTGAATTACATGCATAAAATATACCTCAAAATGCTGCATTTTCTTCGCATAATATGATTAGTGGGGCGACACGATGGCTCAGTTGTTTGCACTGTTGCCTCACAGCAAGAAGGTCGCTGGCTCGAGTCCTGGCTGGATCAGTTGGCATTTCTGTGTGGAGTTTGCATGCTCCCCCCCGTGTTCGTATGGGTTTCCTAAGGGTGCTCCGGTTTTCCCCACAGTCCAAAGACATGTTAGGTGGATTGACAAAACAAAATTGGCCGTAGTTTATGTGTGAATGTGTGAATGAGTGTGTATGAATGTTTCCCAGCACTGGGTTACAGCTGGAAGGGCATCTGCGGTGTAAAACATATACTGGATAAGTTGGCAGTTCATTCCACTGTGGCGACCGGTAAAGTCTAGATCTGATACGTGGCTGGCTGGAAGTGCAGAAGTACATCAATAAAGCAGCATTTTTTATGACACTGTATAACAATAATTAATATTTTTACAGTACTGTGACGGTTGGGTTTGGGGTTGGGGTAGATGTTAATAAAACACAATTCAATTTATTGGGTAATTTAAGACAGCATAAATAACACTCTGTACAACTACTGCTTTACATTACTGTGACGGTTGGGTTTATGGTTGGGGTGGGGTTAGACGTTAATAAAATATTATTAATGGGACATTTAATAAATATATCTGATCTAGCAACAACCGTGGCGAATCCTGGGGAATAAAGGGGACTAAGCCGAAGAAAAATGAATGAATGAAAATGAGCCCTATACTGACACCTATTGTCCTGGTTGTATGAGGTTTGTTACTAACTGCGCCAGCGACAGACCAAACCGATTTGCTTCATTTTTATTCCGTTTTCATACTACTGACATGTCTTTAAGTACGTATATGTATATAATGGACAACAATGGATTTAATAAGCCATAATTTTTACTGTTATGCAACATGTATACATTGTAAAAGAAAAAAACAAGTATACATTGTGGTTAACTACACAATGGTAGAACAACTCAAGCTGATGTCATCAGCTTGATAAAATATTTGAATTTAGTATTGATCATATTAATTATTCTTAATAACTAAAAGTGAAGAGATTGTTATTAGTAATTCTAAAATAGCTTTTATGAAAATGTAATGTAAACATGTAAACGACAACCATTCATTTTCTTTCGGCTCAGTCCCTTTATTCATCAAGGGTCACCTCAGAGGAATGAACCGCCAGCATATCCAGCATATGTTTTACACTGTGAATGCCCTTCCAGCTGCAACCCAGTACTGTCCATACACTCTAAAATGCGCACACATTCACTCTAGCCAATTTAGTTTATTCAGTTCATGTCTTTGGACTGTGGGGGAAACCGGAGCACCCGGAGGAAACCCACACGAACACGGGGAGAACATGCAAACTCCACACAGAAATGCCAACTGAGCCAGCCGGGACTCGAACCAGTGACCTTCTTGCAGTTGTGCTAACCACTGAGCCACCCTGTCGCCCCAAACAATAACCATTAATTATTAAATAATTTAAAATACTATCATAATACAAAATGTCATTATACTTTTAAAAATCATATTTTGAGACTATTGTGCTGCTTAACACTATTTTAAAATGTCTTTTGTTTTTTGTTTTTTTGTTGTTGCTCAGAATAAAAATTAAACAGTACACAGTCTAATGGATGACAATTTAATTACACTTTTTAAACGCTTGAAATCCATTTGGTTCGTCACCAGTATAGGCTATACGTTATATAACATCATTCTATTGTCAAGATGAGGGTGTAGAATCTTGTTTTCTGCAACACTGATGTGCCTTAAGTCTTATACTAATATGAATATGCATAATTCCAATAACATTTCTTAAAAATATTCTTAAATTCCTCACATGAAGAACTTTTTATTAGCCAAAACAATGCTGAGAGCACCTTTAAGTTAAGATTTCATCTGAACACCTCCACACTCCTACTGTATTAAAAAAAATAGGAAGAAAACCAGTTTTTCTCCACTACTCGAAGGTTCTTCGGGAGGCAGGAGAGTCTGAATAAAAGCCGGAGATGAATGAGAAGTATCTCATTGTGGTGTCATCTTTGTTAATAACAGACGGTGGCTGTGGGACAAAGAAGGAAGGCGTTTCAGCACCCACAGCCGAAGATGGTTTACATAACCAACAGCGAAAAAAAGTTTCCCAATTCATTCAAGAATCACCAGCAGAAACTTAGACGATATCCAGAACCGGATTTTAAACGCGCTGACACATAATACTCAAATGCTCCACAAGATAATTATGATAAACTCCAATCAAATAAGACAAAGATGAAGCTGAATGCTAAAGTGCATCCGCGTGCTTAAAATATTGTCACGGATATTGGAAGGTGTTAAATTGTGAAGTAACTGAGCAGCTCGTGCAAAAATCTCTTCAGGTTTTGTATCCTCCCCTCTTCCATGCAAACAAACACACACACACATATATACACACACACCGCGCTTTAAACACTCTTCAAATGTTCACATTTTCGCGCGAGGAATCTTCTGTGAGAGGAAAAGTTGTCTAAAATGTTGCTTGTTGCCCTCGAGTTGCTTTATGGACTGGCAGGACAAACAGGTTTTATTGTTATCATCAATCCGAGCTCTCATAAGTGCACAAGTCACTCCGAGCAAGGTGTCCGTTTCCCCCTGCCATTCAGAGCAGCGGTGCGAAAGGCTTGTTTGAAATAAATAAAAAAACACGAGGACTGGAACACTTACCTGTTGTTTTTACCGGCTCTGTGGAGTTTTTTGGTCTACCTGCTTTCCAGTGTGCTGAAAATGGCGGATGGAGACTGGAGCTTGTGGAGCTTCCCCGATGTAGCTGGTCGGTCGGGTCGCAGAATTGGGAGAGGCACATCACGACGGGCCATTGGTGAAAGTAAAGCTGGACCATCACAAACCAGCTCGTACCGCACGTCACAGTGTGGCAAAATGTGCCTTGATGGCGTGGTTTAATGAATGGGTTCAGCTTTTACCCTTAAACTAGAGGAGAATTGTCACATTGTTCTGTAGTCACTTTGCATCAGGATTTTTATTTATTTATTTAGTAGTCTGTAAATAGACAACTTAAGGTATACAAAAAGCTATTGATCATTTATTGTTCAGGGAAAACACAGAGGTTAAGTGCTGACCTTTTCTGGCAGGCTATTTTATCCTCATATTTTGGGCAAATGTATTACTTTGATTAATGAATAGTACAAAATTAAAACAAGATCATACAAAAATGAGCACAGATTATAATTGAGGTTAAAATCTGTTTTTTTTTATTATTAGCTTATATCATTTTGTTTAATCATTTATTTATTCGTTCATTTTGGGATTTTTGTATGTGGTTTTATTGTGTTCACCGATTGCAAAAAAAATGTTTTAAAATTTTTGTAAATTTAAATAAAAGCTAATTTATGGCTCATACCCATATACAGCCCGATATTAGAGGATATCATACTGTATATCTGACAATCAGATAAGAAAACGAATAAATAATGTATGTATAATATGTATGTTTATTATGTATAATATATAAATGTGCATTTACATATTTAAAACGTGAAGAACTTTCCTTAATTGGATTTTTTTTTTCATCTTAAATAATTGGTCTAAAGCCTATTAGTAAAGGCCACAAGGGGGCACTCGTGAGTTCAGTCATTAGATTGCGTTTGATGCATGTGAATCTCTTCTATTCAGATCTGAAGACGCTTTTAGCATAAATCGTGACTGAGACTCGGTTGTCAGAAAGAGCTGTCAGCACCTGTGATGCCCTTCTGTCTGTGATCCAGATGCTTAGAACAGTTCACATCCCAAATCAATCCAACTCCAGAGTTTCTTCTCATGCGTCTTGTGTGTAAAGATTGAGAATAAGACATCTTCCTCTCCAAGGGATGCATGTTCACATCTGGTCAGTTTCTCGGCTTGACCCAACAAGCATTCATTGTGAACCTCTTGCTCTGTGCACAACATGTGCTGAACACACGTGTATAGACTAAACACAGTAACATGCCTCCGTTTATAGGGAATGTGTGATTTTTCTTAGGTGTTTAACTCTGCTACATGAAAGAGAGGAGTACAGAGAGAGTTTTTATAATGGAAAATGTTTTTGAGAGAAGTAATGAAGGTAGTCTTCTACAATGAAGTATGTTTATCTTACAATATACAACTTGAAATATTAAAAAATTTATATATCATTTGATCTGTTAATTTTACAGGTACGTCTGCAAGCTGTATTATAAAGATAGTTTAGTCTGGAAAAAATCTGCACTGTTCAAAGTCTCCTGAAGGAATAGGGATATATGACATATTTTAAACATCTATTTAAAGGGCCATGAAACCCCCGTCTACGGTTCATCTACCTCAGAATTTTTTCAAAAAATGCTTCATGAAGGGCGTAGAGCTCTGCGAGCAGAAGGAAGAATGAGCGTGGCTAGCAGAGCAGGGGGAGAAAGAGGGGAGTAAACAACTGTTGTCAGTTGTCAGTCACAAAATGAGACGCAAACTGTGAGGAGACTCATGATTTTATAGTTTACAAAGTTAAAATGCAAAGAAATAAACAGTAATTTAACACCCTGCTACATGTTATGCGTAATTTCATATGAACATAACCACAACTTGCTATATCATTATAAAGATAATCATGTAAACATTATAAATGAGGAGGACTTCTCCTCAATCACCGGGTCTGAATGCAGACACAGGGGATTGCAGTGCAGCAAGTCTCTTGTCTTATCTATTCCAACCATTAGCTCTGCCGGTAATCTGGAGGATTTTAATCATAGGCGAACACAACAACCCTGATACAGGCGATGTGTCTGAATGGTAGCAAACTCAATTGATAAAACACAAAGTCCACCATTCTAGAAATACTCGTACAGCTCCCCCAACAAAAAAATGCATGCTGCAAACCAACAGCTTTGCTGTATCGACCCTGACAGCAACACAGGGAAAAACATGCAACAAACCCTGTGAATCATGGAAACAAACACATACGACCCTTCATGAGCGACTAAATACTGCATGCCATGCGTGGCCGCAGTCTCACCCAGTAATTGGGTCTCACAGCTTGGCAGGTCTGCCTTACCTTCGGGTAAGCACATGCTCTCATGAATAATTAAGAAGCAGGGTCTCCTCATAGGATGAGAAAACTCAGCTACATCACCATTTTTGATCCCGCCCCAAAAATGATTTTAAACCCGGAAGAGGAAATTAACTGACAAAAGCTCAAAATTATCCAGTTTTCCCCACAAGTAAAGCTGACAGGTGCTCAACACACACAAATCTGTAAATCTAGTAGACGATTTGCAGATGAGCAAATGCTCTAATAAATACTTTTTTTCAGATGAACGCCAAAGATATGTCTCTGCTATGTACGTGTTTTATCATTAATTATTCCTTATGTTTTATGGAATACAGTGTTCATTATAAATGATTTGATTCTGATGGGTCAATGACCACATTCAAGTATGCTATTGCTGTTTGGCGCCATCTTGTGACTGAATAAAACTTACGTCAATGGGCTCTATGCACAGCTGGTGTTTTACAGCCAATGATGAATTTCCGGTGAAAGCCTAATGTGACTATATTCAATTTCATTACGTTCCTTTTACATCGATGCTGTGATGTAATTCAAATAAATTCCATAACATAGACTTAAGAATCTATTTGGTTGTTAAAGCGTAAAAAGAAATGAAAAACAGATTAAACGCAGGCATCGTCATTAGCGGCAGGCTAGCGCAGAAATTCCATTGAAAACACTTAATTTCCATATTTTAAAGACATGACACAGAAAAATCTAATTTAATGCAGAGCTCCTGGTTTGGTCTGATACCCACTTTATATCGTATCTCAGCGAGGCAGTTGGGATCCCTTTTTTAAAGAAATTAGACTTTAAACACAGGGATTTTGTATGGGATAACAATTAACTAACAATTTTAGAGTCTCAACAATTTAACAATTTAGCAGAGATGCCTAAACTAGGGAGAATGGTATAAACAGAGGTCGGGGGCCAGCTCCAAGTGGGTGGAACTTGAGCTCCAAGTGGGCTGTACAAACCTGGAGTTTTTAATTATTTAACGCCTTGTACATAACACGGAGAGCAATATTGTGCTTTATGAATGTCTGCACCTACCCCAACCTCACAGTAACCTGTTGAGTTTTATTAACCACTACACCACCTAAAACCAAGCTACTTGTGGCATAAGTCCCTCCCACTTGGATGTCACCCAATCTACTTGCAGTGTAATCCCTCTCACTTGGAGGTCTTCGGGCTGCAGCAATACCTAATTGAAATTATGGCCCATAGACCAAAGTTGGCCCATGGTAACCTTTGATTTGGCCCGACATCCCATCTCAGAATGGTTTAGACTATTTGATTAATTTATTGTTAAGCTACAAAAAAGTGATATGATATTAAACATTTCAATTTAAATGGTGTAAATAAATGAGATTTTGTTAACATCCGACAGATAACGGATAAAGCAGAGACTTTGGTGAGTGAATCAAGGTAAGGGCAGATTCTAATTGACTAGTGTATTCAGCAATGAACTCCAGTGTCATAAATGTGATTATATTTTGTAGTTTTGTTTGCTATGTGTATCTTCGGCCCACGGCTCTCAATAATATTTGGTTTTTGGCCCTTCATACAAAATAGTTTCGGCACCCCTGATTTAAAGTGTTAGTAAATTATAACAGCTGTTTTGTGTCCAATTTTGTGACATAGTAGCCATGTAATAAATGGAATAATGTACATCTAGGTGGTTTTTGCAGCCTATACATGTACACTGTAAAAATATCCATAAATTAGCAGTTTTATTTTGTTTTTGTAAATCATGTTTTTATTATTTTTTTCCATTTATCTATGTTTTGAATTGCATCATGGGAGCTTAACATTTTTTTCAATGACATTGAAAAGTTAAAAAAGTGACTTTTATTAACATTTACAATAGTTTAAAGTGATATATAGTCTGGTCTAGTTTTATGTTACAGTACAGAAATCTTAATAAGCTTAATAACTTCAACTGCCTGTACATTTTGTGTTTGTTTTACTTATTTAAGTTTATTCTTTATTTAAGTTTGTTATAGTTATATATTTATGATATATTTCTCCATATATTTTACCTTATACTATTTTAAATACTAAAATGTCAATGCACGGCAAGGCAAGCCAAGGCAAGTTTATTTATATAATACATTTCATACACAGTGGCAATTCAAGGTGCTTTACATAACCAGGAATAAAAGAGTCAAGAATTAATTAAATAAAAACACATTATATAAAAATACAGATTTATATTATTCAAATTAAGTTAATAAAAGTACCTTTGTAGAGTTGAACTTCATATCTCATTTTCGTCCACTTTTCTGGGGCCGGGTCGCAGGGCAGTAGTCTTAGGAGAGGACCTCAGACTCAGACACTTCCTCCAGCTGCTCCGGGGGAATCCCGAGGCGCTCCCAGGCCAGCCGAGAGATATAGTCTCTCGATCGTGTCCTGGGTCTTCCTCGAGGCCTCCTTCCGGTGGAACATGCCTGGAACACCTCCCTAGGTGGACATCCAGGAGGCATCCGAAACAGATGCCAGAGCCACCTCAGATGACTTCTCTCGATATGGAGGAGCAGTGGCTCTACTCCGAGCTCCTCCCGGGTGACAAAGCTCCTCACCCTATCTATAAGTGTGCGCCCTGCCACCCTGTGAAGGAAACCCATTTTGGCCGCTTGTATACGAGATCTTGTCTTTTCGGTCATGACCCAAAGCTCATGAACATAGGTGAGAGTAGGAATGTAGATTGGCTGGTAAATCGAGAGCTTTGCCTGTTTAGCTCAGCTCCTTCTTTACAACAACGAACCGATACATGATCCACATTACTGCTGCACACACATTACTGCCTTCCCTCACTCGTAAACAAAACCCCAAGATACTTGAACTCCAACCTGAAGAAGGCAAACCACCTTTCGAGGGTTAAACTTTCAACATCAAAGTCAATAGAGCAGAGATCAACATCCAGTAATGCAATTCACAACTGTAAATACACAAACA